AAAAGTGAAACTGGGTCCTGTATTGTAGTTATGCTCTTCACTGTCGCAATATGAGGCTACTTTTAAAAACTCTAGAACTTGGATTGAAATGAATATATACATTTTTTTTTTTTCCCCAAATTCTTTGCAGTTTCCAATAAATCTTTAGAAGACAATAGATTCCCAATAGGCAAATTAAATACTTATTTGGTTTTGATAGGCCCATACCCATCTTCCACAGCTTGGCCACTAAATCTTTAATTGTCTTTGATTTAAAGGGGCAGTCACTGAAATATTTTATTTTATATTCTACCTTGTTTTACTGTGTTTTAACTTAAATATTGAATTGTCCTTCCATATGAGTTGGGTTCTATGACCAATGCCTTAAAGGTGTAAAAAAAACCTTTTAACATATACAGGATTAATGTGATGGGGGGATAAAAGATTGCATTTGGTTGTCTGCAGATCCAATAGGTTTGATATTAGAGAGCAAAAATTTAAAGGGAAACCTGACATGAAAGAAAATGATAGTTGAAAGACATTGATTACTGATATGTCTCGCCTTGATTTCACAGGTACTGAATCACGAAAAAGATCAACGACTTTTTATATAGACTCTGCTTCGTATTGCTGTTTAGATTACTTTATGCAACCAGAACCACATCAATTTGTGTCAAAAAATCTAATTAATGAGTCATATAGAAAAATAAAATACTTAACCTGCTCACTTTAGCTAATGAAGGAAAAATACTGTAATAGAAAAAAGTCACCAAAGACTCTTATCTAAATAAAAAAATATGTTGCGTTCAATAGAAGAAGAGATCAGTACGTTTTTATAGATATATATTTCTTTTTCAGTGAATTTTTTAAAGAAGTAGTCTTGTTCATTGTGATCAATAATTTGAAAAAGATGTTAATGCACAGAGTGTGATGATGTTAGCGATGGATATAGATTACCGTAATAATGGCATTGGGAAAGAGGGACCACCAGCCTATGTAATGTTATTTTTACTGTAGGTGTATTTATGTTGCTCATGTATTAAGCAGTGTATGTGAGAGTCTTAACACGTCTCCCCTGTTAAGATCACCAAGAGTCAAAAATAACGTGAATTATGGATTTAGATTTGGTAAGTGTGCATTGCAGGCAATTCATTGTCGTGGTTATTAAAGCAGTTTGAAATGATTGACTGTTTCTGCAGTACTGTACCTTGCTGAAAAAGCCATTAGAAGATAAGTACGCTGTGGTTATACAGGACAACCATAGTCCTCGACAATACTCAGGGACACTGTGGTTCAGTTGGTACTAAGGTTCCCGGAGTTTGCCTCGAAGATATCTCCCATATCATTGCACCATCGAGTGGTGGTGCTGGTGAAAGTTGCTGGCATTTGATCAATACCTCGCCTGTGAATGAAGTTGAAGAATCTGAACTTCAATTTACATTTGAGCAGAGGCGTAGCCAGAAAAAAAAAGGGTGGCCAGGCAATAACCAATGTATACTGAGGGGTGGCCAAAAGTGGATATGCACCAGAACCTCAGGGTAAATCTACACTGTTCCAACAGGAACAAGCACAACGTTCATATTCCTAAATAAAGACAAACTATTGATTCCTACAGCCGTTGCTAACAAATAGATGGATATGTATATACTGGATAAAATTCTTTGTGGTTTGAGTTCTGGAGCGAACATCTTTTACATCGTCATTACTTGCCTACTTTTATCAATATCATTCTACATTAAATTGATATTTACAAGTACTAATATCTACATAAATTGATAATTTAATAGGTTTTTGTTCAAATAGTTATTTACAGTATCTATGATTTCACTGAAGACTCTTAGATGACTTGCAGAGACTCATCATTTTCTCTTTATGGCATATAACACAAAATCTAGTTCTGAAAGAGCCTGGATTTTTTACTAATCATCTCTAATGTTGGTATATTAATGTGCATAATTAATCACAGTGTTGTCAAGTAATTGTTAATATATATAAAATAAAATTTCTTTTGAATATTCTACTTGAGAGAAAAAAAAAGGTAGGGGATGGCCACAGGGGTGGCCATGACCACCCTTACCCAATCATTGGCCACCCCTGGCCCCCCATCTAGCTCCACCCCTGCATTTGATTTGTGAAATCTAATCAGTGACTAGATGTGACTGTGTGCTACAGTGAGGGAGTGCAACAAAGAGCCTTTTTTTAGTCCTAGAATGACTTTTTTTCTGTCCTGTCTCCAGAGCAGACAAATGCCTTCTCTCCCCAGCTCCACCAGTGTCTGCCAGGGCAAACTTTGCTGATCCTCCACACAGAACGCATTTCATCAGCCTGCAGTTACACCTGTCCTACTCCCAGGCACCCAAAGTCTCTACCCCCCTTTTAGTCTTCCTGGTGGACTTATCCAATCTGCCTTTCTGCTCCTCTGTTCCTTCCCTGTTAGCTTCTTTAGCTATCCCAAATCAGCTAGAGACTCTCCCTGCTGGCCCTGTTTCCCCAGTGGTCTTCTCTGCACTGCCTTCTCCCCCCACTTTAGTGCACTGATTCCTTGGAGAGCTTCTCCAATCTCCTGCTGAGGTTCCTTAGTTCCAGAGGGTGACACGGGATACAGCCTGTTCTCTGTTCTTTTTTTTCTCTCCCGGCTGCTCCTGTCTGAGCTCCAGAATGCTGTTTCACCTAATCCTCTGTTGTCCTGGTGATTTGCCCCCCCATTGCTGGACAACAGAGCCCCGAACTGGGTCACCAATAGGCTGTAGTACAGCTGAAAGCAACCATCATCCAGACCTAACCTATGGTGGATGTGATGCTATTCACCCTACTGGTTCTGTCTCTGGGAATCTTGTGAAGCTAGGAACATCGGCAGCTTTGGGTGGCTTACTAAGGTCAAAAATACCTCCATTTTCTTTGTAAAGCCATGTCTGCCATGATAAGATAAAACCAATAACCAACAGACTCCACAATGTAGAAGCCTTTTGCCCACTGTGCAAATTCACCTGCCTGCGAAAGGCTTCCACTGGCCAGGTGGCGTTCAAGGCGTAAAGAAGCAGAAGAACTTGGCAAACCTTTCGCTGGTTTCACGTTCGGGGTGAACACACCTCAAGAATAGCATTGCTGTCACTAGTATCAGTATTAAAAAGGCCATGTACTCTCACATTCATCAGAAGACAATATTCAACCAGAGTGAGCTACTGGAGTAGAAATACATTAGGTTAAAGTAGGTGGCCAAGCCCCTTTAATTCTAGAGCAGGGGTCTCAAACCGGTTCCAGAAAGAGCCGTGTGGCTGCAGGTTATCTTTCCAACCAAGCAATGGCAGACCATCTCATCAAGTCATCATGTTCAGATTGCACTCAGTTGATGAAATGAATGGAGTCTGGTGTGCCATTGCTTGGTTGGAAAGATAGCATGCAGCCACACGGCCCTTTCTGGAACCAGTCTGAGACCCCTGTAGAGCATATACCTTCAGGTTCAATATTATTGTACATAGAAACAATTACGGTATCGTGTGTTTGTGTTTATGTTGCATAAAAAAAAGAAATTTTAATAACTTTGAATGAATTAATACATTCTTTCATATTCTCATGCTGTAGGCATTTATTATAATCAAGAATGTCTGACTGAATTAAAATTGTTTATCAAATTTTTAAACCCAAGGTCTTAGAATATCAGAAATTTAAAAGCAACTTTCTTCAGAAGCGTGAATTTGTTTTTTTAGAAGAAATTAGAAAAAAAACTTTTTGAATAATATACGTTATGCACAAGGTAGGAGGGAAGATTACAGCTCTCATTTTCATGATTTTTAGTACATATCTAGAGCTGAAATTAAGCTCTTATAG